TTGGGCCAGTGAAGCAGCGTCCTCCACAACTAGATTGAAGAACAAAACGACAGCAACTTGTCTGTTCCCCTTCCCCTAATTCCCCAGCACTGTTTCCATCCCCCCAATTACCCAATAAAAATCTTTAAAAAAAAAAAAAAGAAAGCGGTAAGCACATATGTAAATTTAAGAAGTTTCATCTGTATGACTTATGTATGAAACATGCATTTTACAATATATAATTTATATATTTTATAATTATAAAATATAATGATTTTTATTAGTAGTAATAATAGTATAATTATGCCCAATTTGTGGACTTAAAAAAATGATAGCACTAAAATGTTGATGACAATAGCAGGTAAGTAAAGAGGGGGATGATTGAAGTTTAGGTGTCCTAATGGCCCTGAATTATTTTAAAAGGGGTTAAAATAGCATTTAAGTTTAGAATCTGTTAAGACAAATATCATGATCATATTTTAAGAGTAATCACCAAAAAAATAGAAATAGAATATACAGCAAGAATAGTAATGATACAAGCAACCAAAAATAAGTAAAAAAAATATATATCACAGAAAAACCAGTTCAAATAGCAACTTTTAAAGAAGACAGAAGAAACTCACATATTTCACTAACCTCTAGAAATGGACTCATTGAGCTGGTCAATTAGAAGACTGCAATTAGTAGAAGAAACAGCAAAACTATAAAGACACAGAGTGACTGAGAAAAGTGCTTACTCTTCAGTTGGGAGGCTAGAAGCTCCCTGCTTTCTGCCTTTGCCCTTCTCAGCAGACACTCACCTCCTCCTTTGATGTCTCTGAATCCAGCTCCAGCGTGAGGTACATAACGACATGGGGGGTGTTTAGGGCATTCTGCTGGGTACTGTCACCCTCTTCTCCCCGCAGAAGTTTGACTAAATCTCCTGTGTTTGACTGTGCCTTCTTCTGTCTTGGTTGAATTGTTTCCTTTTTCATAGCATATGCATTTTCAAATGTCAGTTTCACCTTTAAAAATGAAAACAATTTGTTGATGTTTCAACAAGGGTGAGTCAGCTGCAGTTTTCAGGAAGGAGGCTCTGCATGCACATCCGCTCAGGTGTGCTCAGACATCATCCTGCATGTGGGCGCCTCGATGGCAGGGACTGTGTATTCTATTTACATTTGTGTCTCCGGCTCCTACCCCAGTGTCTGGCGCTCATTATTATAAATATCTCTTGAGGAAGAATGTATCCTTCTCTGTACAAAAATGCATTTATTTAAACTTAATCATTGTATTCTAGGTATTGACATCAAAAACAAGAAATGACATGGAAAAACAAAAATTAGTATGATCTGATAGTGTAATAAAGAATAATACCACATTATGAGCACTGATAGCACTGACTCATCTGGGGAAAGCAAAAAGAAGAGATTCAGGAAGAAAAGCAACCTTATATACCAGAGTTACACTCCTTTCAAGTGAGGCACTACTCAAACATTCTTCTCTTAGACGTTCTTTGTGGTCATTTAAAATAACAGCTAAGGAGAGTTAAAAACGATCAACATGCCGGAGCTTGGACCATGGCCCTTAGGTTATCTATCAGTTTTATCGAGATCGTTTTCATTTCATGGCCTGATGTCAAACCAGACCGGTAAGAGTCCTGAGTGTGGCCATTTTCCAGCTGTTGAGAGGTAGCTTTCACTCCTCAATGACCTTTCCTTGAAAAAGGAGATATGTGTCTAGATGTCAGCCGACCAAAGACAACTTGCTCATTTCAAAGCACCAGTGTGTGTTTCTTGACTAAAAGAAATTTTCACTCAATAATTTGAATTTATATAGTTAATTTTGTGTAGCAAGGACATCATCATTAACTGTAAAGGCATAAAGTACTCCTAATGTTTAAAATCTTATCAGAATTTAGATGAGTAAAACGGGACGTACTAACTGATTTAAATTAAAAATCATAAAATTTTTAATTTAAACCTTAATGTGCAATGACTCTTAAAATTAGATTAAAATTTAAAAGTAAAAAAAATAAAAGAATAAAGAAGTCTGGTCAATATACATATATTAAATAATCATGTTGTACAATTTAAAAAATCACATTGTATGACCTGAATATATAAAACTTTTATTTGTCAATCATATCTCAATAAAGCTGGGGAGTAAAGAAGTCTGGTCAATATTTAAAAGCAGATAAAAGTGTTTGCATGCAGTCAGTTGCATTTGGGGGGAAATATTTAAAAATGATCAAGACAGTATAATCCCTATTTTTAGAAATTTATTACAAGAGGTACCCTTTTCAAGGCCAACTTTAAATATATGATAAATACTAACACATTAGTAACTCTTTAATAATGAGCTTTATATATTTATATATTTTTATTGAAAATATTAAACATGTTATTTTTAAAAATTCATTCATAATCCCACCAGCCCACCCAACTGTTCTTTGTATTATACTGTAAAATAAATCTCCCCTGATGAATAAAACCTTCCAAAAGAAAAATATCTAGCTATCTTCTCTCTGTTGGCAACGAGTGACTATTTATGACGTGTTCAATTTTGTTTATGTAGCTATCTGTGGTATTTCTAGGGCACTGAATTATCTTTGTCTATCTAAAGTGAATTAAGGTAACACCTTTTCTAAAATAAGTATCAGAGTTGATTTTATTAACAAGTAGAAAAGACACATGAGGTCTACATTCAGTTTATCCCCAGATGATCTAGGTCACAAAGAACAGTAATCTATATAGAGAATAGGGGAGAAATCCTTCAGGAAACTTTTCTGAGGCCTGATGATCATGTTTCTTTATAAAACATTTAATATTCGAAATGGAAAAGATCAACCTTTAATAAATTGTCTATGTTTTCTGTAAACTGATATTGAAAAAAGGGCCCTTGATATTAGAAAACTGTATCAAAAACTAAGTATAAAATTAGTATATTGGGGGGTGAAATATTAAGTGAACTAAACAAGAATATAAAAAGTTAGAGATCATATGTGGGAACAATCAAGAGAGTTCTGATGAAAACTGATATATGGTTAAGGTGAGGAAGAGTTGAAGAGACACTGTTTTAGAAATGATCTTAGAAGGATGTAAAAAGTTATTTGTTTGGTTTTGGCCCAAACAAGCAACATGTATTACATTACATGGTTTGAAAGACTGCTCTGAGGGTGGCATCTGCTCTGGTGGGCAATGCTCAATATGTGCATACATAAATATAAACATAAGCATAAACATATAAAATCCTTGAACAAGGATCTGACGCAGCAAATGGCTCGGTGGTCAGGGCGTTCTTTTATCTGAGAATGAGGATTTGGTAGCATCCAAAAGAAAATATGTGGGAGCCTTTGATGGTGCTCCTTGAAAATATGAGAAGTCTAGAATTTGGGGAAATTCTGAACGTGGACTTTGTAACAGGAGAGATGGGAGCTTTGAAGACTGTCCCGGCACTGGGCTTGGGGAAGGAGTGCAGCAGAAGGGGAGACACAAGATGAGTGGCATCGGAGGGAGGCAGGTGTCGCAGAGGCAGGATGGGTCTGCTGGAGCGTCTGTGAGAGCTGGCAGACCAGTGTGGCCGAGAGGGGGACGACGGGTCCTGAGAGAAACACATGCCTCAGAACAGGGATGTGATTCGCGTGGGGAGAGAGGTCAAACGATAGGGCGTGACTCACCAGAGCTCACACAAGGAAATGAGTTGGTAGATTTAAAATAAAAATGCATCAATTTTACTTAGGCAGCAACAGCAACCTAAAATTGAAGACTGGTTTGCTACGCTTCGTGAAAAGCAACAGACTTGAAAACTAACTTTCATGTTATATTATACTTGGCAGACAACAGTGCTGCTTTTTCTGTGGTACAAGGACATTTTCCCCTCACCATGACAAAAACTCAAACCAATACGCATACCACAGAACCATCCATTAAAAATTTTTAAGGAACTATCTTAGCCGCCGTTCTTCTGATTTAAGTCAAGTTGGCTTCATAATTCAAAGATAATTACACTTTAGCAAGACATTTTGCAAAAGCTTACAATGTCAGGAAATCTAGTTGCCTTGATAAAATAATAAAGGGTGAGATAGATAACCGAATTAAGACTTAAGTACTATTTTTAAAAAAGGGTTGATATATCATGTAAATATTCAGGATATTATGTTTTATAGGGAAAAAGTTATTAAGAAACATCTAATATAAGAGTTTATATGAAGCGTCTTATAAAAAGGGTTTCCTGTTGTTCCTCCATGGACATTAACCCATGACAAGTTTCATCGTCCTCATCTCCTGTCTTCCTCAACACGGTTTCTTATTTGTGCAATTTGCCCATCATTTTTTTCCTCCTTCCCGCCCAGTTCAGATGATTGCCTTTCCTCAGGTCTTAGAACATGCTCTCTATAGGTCATCACTCCCTAACTCTGGTTGTTTTCATCACCCCTCTCTGCTTCTGTCTCCACCCATCCCATTTAACAAGCAATGCCTCCAGCTTCTGCCAAACAGACAGAAGATCCTCTCTCTCCCCATTAACTACCACGCCTTCCTCTCCATATCCGGGTGCCGGGAGGTATCAGAATCAGAGCAGCTCCTGACCAGACCATATCACCTGGTCTGCACTTGTCTCTCACCTCACCGCTGCTCTCTGCTGTCTGCTCCTTTCTCCTTGGGCTGGCAGATGCTTTGAATATTCTTTTGTCACAATCCTAAAGGGATGGAGTCTACTTGGCTCAGCAAATTCTCTCTCCTTGGTCCTCTTCTCCTTGGGGCAGCCTCACTGAATTATCCAGGACGAAACCTGGAAAGCATCTAGGAGTCCTCTCTCACCTGCAGGAAGCACTGTCCTCTTCACTTCCCGCACATCATAAATCTAACCAACTCCTCGTCCATATCCCCAGCCAATGCCTTTCCTCAGGCCTTTATCACCTCTTCTGGAGCACTCTAAAGCTGACCCCCTGGTTTCCCAGCTCCCAGTCCCATTCAGAGTGATATAGTCCTAAAATGCAAATCTGCTAAACTTCCAGCATTTTCATTTTACATTTCCAAAGATAGTTAAATTTATAGAGCGCGCACGCGCATGTGTGTGTTCAGAGAAGGCAGTGAGCATAGGGAAATCTTATTTCTTTGAAAACAAAGAATTTCATCACGGGACCTATTATTTCAGAAACTCAAGTCAGGTGCAGACAAGATTCTGACTTATCAGGGTTTCCGCTCATGCTGACCCATCCAAACGTTGCTTGATGCCCACACTGCCTGATGGAGTCTCCAACCTCTCTGAGGCATATTGTCCTCCCTACCCTTCAGAAGAGAGGAAACTAATTCCTGATGCTAACAAAAGCAAAACATTCATAAAATTCAAAATACATCTAATTACCTAACAGTATCATCTCTGATACAAAATGTCAATGCTTAAAGTATCACAATAACTTATTGTGAAAGAGGTTTATTTTTACCTACAAGAAATGGAAAATAATTAAGTATTATAGCTCAACAAAAGCTCAGCAATAAGGCTAAATTGGGTAACAGAAAAATCAAGAGAATAGTATAATTAGCTTTAACAATAAATAAAACCACATTAAAAAAAACTTCACAGCAATAAGGATTTTAATAAGTTAAAGAATAGAAAGTCCCATGACTGTTTCAAATGACTTTTCTAGAAACTGGATTTTCATCGGCACATATGGTAGTTAATAATGTCAAGCCGGTCATTACATATGTTTTTATTATTGTTCTTGTTCCTGCTTTACTTAGGATGAGTTTTATTTGTAGATGCTTTTCTCTCTCTTTTATGAACAATCTCCAAAAACGACAAATGTTAACACGATCTAAAATGTTTTAAATATCTAAGTGTGTACGTAGAACTCACCCACTGTACACGATTTCCAGAATCTTAAAAAAAGAAAATAGTGCAAGATGCCCCTATTTTATGTAATTCACCATAAAACCCAGACAAAGAGCATCCGTACCTGCATCGGTCCAGGAATGCAAGATAGAACTCTCTCTATGTTCTCCGAAGTCACGTCAACATCATTCACAGCAACAAGGACGTCACCTGAACACAGAATAACAATAACAGACAGTTCTGTGAATAGCCAAAACCCAAAAGACCTAGAATTGGAACGTTAAAAAGCATCTATTCTGGCCTCTTCAAAGAACAGTGGAAAATATGGTGCAGACATTCAGGGACTTGTCCAAGGTTACGAAGCTCATTAGTGACAGAGCTGATCTCCCACTCCACTTCTTTTTTAAACCATAATACAGCCTAACATTGCACCATAACTAAATACAACCTATGAATATTTATAGAGATGAATATCCTCATTTTTGATACAACTGGGAGAATTATGTAAACCCAAAAGACAAATGGAAAATTTGTAGCATAAACCAAGTATTGCACGTACAAAATTGAATCTAACCACTTAAAAAAAAATTTCAGCTGAAATTTTAATTAAATCCATGTGGTACCTCATAACAATACACTGTGATATTCACTGTTACTGATCTGTGTCTACACACAGTTCTTTGTTTCAAAGCTCACATAATATCAAAATCCTTAGTATGTTTTGGTAAAAATCCTCTTTGCCATGGCTTTTCTTTAAATGTGTGTTTATCAAATTTGGTGGCTTTAATTACATAAAGATCAGTGTTAAAATGGAAATTTACTCCCACACTATTATTAAAGGTAAGTTCAAAATGCCTGTGAGCTATATTAATAGGAATATGTACACACCAAGTTTATTTTTTTCTTATCCCTAAATGTATCATTAGGAAATTGATCAAGCAATTCATACACATCCATTCATTAAACACCCAGCAAATATTTATAGTGTATCTACTGTGTGCCAGGCATTGTTCTAAGTATTGCAGATAGAGAATTAAACAAAACAGACAAAAATCCCTACCTACATGGAACTTAATACTCTTTGGAGAAGATGGATAATAAATATGTATATAGATAAAATAGCGTCAGCAGACAATTCTCCATCTGTCTGTTGTGTTCTTGTACATCTTGCTGAGCTAAGGCACTTTGTCTATTCTGGGTTATCTTTTCAAGGTTGTTCGTATAGTGAACCACCTTGGACGAGAGAGTGTCTTCCTCCAGAGCCAAGGTCAAGTTTCTTTAATGTACAGTAAAATAAGGATAGTGTCTTCCTCAATCTCTTATTATTAACAATTGTTCTTTCTAAAAGATTCATGTTCCCCAGGGTCCGAGTTCCTCTCCCTTTCATGCAGCTCACTATAGGTATGTGTTTAGGTGTCACGTGGCCCTCTTCATGTCGCCTGGTGGGAATGAGGGTTGGAGAACAGGCGAAAATGCTATCTGAGTGACCTGGTAACTTTTCTGAAAAGTACGAACTTGCCAACTAAAATAAACTTCCAACTTCAGTTCAACCCCGGGGGTGGGGGGGAAGAGGAGCACTATAACCCCCCATTTTAAATAGGAGATTAAACAAGTGTACTATACCATTATTTATAGCTGTAGTGATAAAAAACAAAAGGAACAATGAACACAATATTGGAGTACAGATGTAAAACAAAACCACTTCTGGACCATTCTACCCATGGTTTAGGTTGTCACCTAAATAGTGACACCATTTAAAACTTGCTCCTTTAAATGAAAACTCCACTGGACAATATCCCAAATGACATCTTTTCTCCAAACCGTAATAAATACAGTTGAGTGTTATAGGGAGTGTCATCTGAAAGCATCACATCCAATAAACCTCTAAAAGCAGGAAACATGTATATAGTAAAAGATAAGAAAATAAATTTTAGAGCGAGTGTGGTACTCATATTTTTAAATGTGTAGTAGAAAATGTTCTCTTTCTATAAAAGTGTTATATCCACTTCTCATTCTCCCAGACACTGTTTTCTTCACATTCTTTTTGAGCACCTCTGTGAAGTGGCTCAGACAGTGGGCTTCCTGGACTTCACACCACTGCACTGGACAGCCAGCACTCCAGGAAAGCTCGTTTTCAACAAGTACATGGAGTCATTAGTATGCACTGTCCCATCTCAAAGGCTCAAAGGAAATGAATTGCATGAATTGGTTTGAATTGTTAAATAAATAATGGTCTGAGGATTATTGATGGGTAGACATAAGAGGAAAACTCTATCAAGAGGTACAGTCAAGAATCAAATAAAACACAAAGAGGTGAGATCAATTTATCACAGTGCTTAAGTCAGTTCTTTGATGTAAAGTTAAATCTTTGCAAAAACCCATCAATTTCTCAGCATTTACTTAATATCAATCAACAAATGTGTACTGAAGGGCTACTAAGTAACACACCAAGGGCTATGAAAATATATATGCAAATTTTGTTTGCTATTTTATTTATACTATAAACATAAGTAATATACAGTTTAAGAAATTACTTTTGAATAAAAATTATTACACTAAAGGTAGGGAAAAAGATGCATATCAAAATATTGCCTTTAGGTATATGTGCGTTTCCTCCCTCCCTTCCCTTTCTATGTTCCTTCCTTCCTTCCTTCTTTTTTTGCTTATATTTTCTAGGCTGTCCACAATAAACATACATTAATACTATTGTAAAGAGAAAAACATTAAAACTCATATTTTATACAAAGACACAAAACAACCTACTGTGGTATGCAGAATAATTGCCCTCCAAAGTTGTCCACATCCTCATCTCTGAAATCTATGAATGTTACTTACAATGACCAAAGGGACTTCGCAGATGGAATTAGGTTAAGGATCCTGAGATGGGGAGATTTTCCAAGCGAGCCCAAAGTGATCACAAGGGTCTTCATAGGAGGGAGATAGGAGGGTCAGAGCCAGAGAGAGGCTTGAAGATGCTAAGCTGCTGGCTTTGAAGATGGAGGAAGGGACCACAAGGCAAAATGCAGGCGGCCTTCAGAAGCTGGCCAAGGAAAGCGATTCCCCCTGGAACCTCCAGAAGGAATGCAGCTCTGTGGACACTTTGATTTCAGTGCCGGAAGAAACATTTCAGACTTCTGACTTCCGGAACTGCAAGGTGCTGAATTTGTACTGTTTAAATTACTAGGTTTGTGGTAATCTCTCACAGCAGCAATAGAAAATGAACACCCCCCCCCCCCTAACAATACAAAGCAATGTTGGGGAAGCACCAACTGAGAGCCGGGGAGCATGAATGCTAAAGAACAGAGATACCAGGAACATTTGGTGGTCATTGGGGAAAACAACCAGTCTTGTTAGAAGAGGGGACTCATGCACAGAAGGGCTGGGAACAGGTATGGAATGGTGGGGTGGAGTCAGACTGTGAATTCAATTTGACTTCAGCGGGGAGAGAATCTGGTTTTGGAAACATAGTCACCATACTGACATTTTACACATTCACGTGAATGTAGTTACTCTCAATGCCTTTACGGGCAAATTCCCAAGTTTTAAGAGAATGGATTTTGTTGTATTTCTCTTAGCTTGAATATCAATGCTTCATCTATATAATATGCAGGCACTAAAATTAAGAGAATTAAGGATCCTCCCAACCTACCATTCTAGAAGTCCTTGAATAACTGTAGTTCATATATTGTAACTATCATTCAGAACATTTGAATAAGTAAAATATCACATTCACTGATGATGCTGGGCACGTCAGTGCAGTTGCTATTTCTCATTAAAATAAAAAAAAAACATGTTGGAAAAAATTATTGATGACCCCAACACTACAGCAATGAGTATTTTTGCAAATTATTTTTGGTCTTTACCTATGTTCACACAAATGAGGTATCAAGGATTTTTTTCCTTTTGAACCTCTTCAAGTAATAAGAATTTTTATGCTGGTACATACTTTTTTAGTATTATAATTTTGAGAGTCAAGTAACATAAATATATTAAATTATATTTAAATAACCATACCCCTGTGTTTGACATTTTCATGCTTTTTTATTATTATTTTTTTTAAAAACGCTTCCATAAATGTTTTCAAGTGAATAGTTTTTCCTTTTACATCTGGGGTCAGCAAACTTTTTCTATAAAGGGTCAGATAAGTAAATATTTTAGGCTCTGAGGGCCTTATGTTCTTTGTCGCAACTACTCAACTCTGTGTCAATAAAATTTTACTTATGAACACTGATATTTGAATTTCATATAATTCAATGTTCATATGTCATAATGTTCATATGTCATAAAATATTCTTTTCATTTTTTTAAACCACTGATAAAGAAAAACCATTCTCAGTTTGCAAATGGTACAAAAACAGGTGGTGGGCCTGATATCTCCTGGCTCTGATTTGCAGATCTGTTCTAGATTACTTCTTGAGGATAAATGTCTCAAAATGGACTAACTGGGTTAAATGGTACATTGTTGTGGCTTAATATTATTTCTAAATCACACTTTGAAATGATTAAATAACTTATTTTCTTCTTTGCTTCAAACGGAATCCTTTGGCGCTTCCTCCACCCATTCAGGGGTGCAATGTGGCAAAGGAAAGCAGCTCTGTGAATGGCAGTCAGAACACGTGGGGCCCGGCTTTATCAGTAACTGAATGTCTGTTCTTGGGAAAATCCTGTAATCCACTTTGCACACATCTGCAGAAGGAAATACCTGCACTACACGTTCTCTAGAAAGGCTTGAAAACTCTAAAATGCTGTCTTTCCAATTAACTCACTAACTCAGGTTTCTTTCCTTTATTACTAAGTAAAGTACCACAGGTTAAAAAATGTGGGAAAGTAATTATGTGAGAAAAGAGGGACTGACAAACATAGTAGCATTACTTCCATTAAGAAAACCAAAATGTTCCAAGTATCACAGATGGTGAAAATAAAAATGTATACCAAATAATATTAAAGAATGAAACTATATATTAGATGTTCATAAAAACCAAATCTATCTGTAAAAAAAACCAAAAAAAACACTTCAAATATTTTAACTGAAAACAACCAAAATGACCATCAACAGTGGAATGGAAAAAGAAATACTATATACTGTATATTCATACAATGAAATATTACATAGTGACAACAAGAATATTTCTCATACATTAAAACTATAGGATACAAGAGAATACACACCATATAAATTCCATTTATATGAAGTTCAAGAGGCAACATCAACTGTTGATAGAAAACTGTGACTTTTAGAAGATTATTTTTGGGAAGGGGTGTTGACTGGGAGGAGGCACCATGGAGCCTCTGAGTACTGGAAATGTTCTATAATTTGACCTGGTAGTTTCACAGTTATATACATATGTCAAAATCCACTGAATGTACCCTGACGATCTGTGCATGTTATGAATGCATGTTATTCCTCAAAAAGATTTTTTAAAAGTAAACAAAAAAATTCAAAAAATTTAAAAGAGAAAACAGCACAAGTGTGTCATACAAAACAAGTCTATTCAGTGATCACAGGTGAGAACATTAGGAATTATACTAAAAGAGCTTGAAACAAAAACTGTTTTATTGTTCAGTAAAAACAGTCTGCAGGGGGTATGCACGTTCAGAACATTAATATGTGATTTCTCTAACCCTATCCTTTTCAATCCTTAAAAAACACCTGGTGAAAATGACTCAAAATCAGTAACCTTGAAGAAAAAGAAGCACCAGGGTGATATGCAGTTTCTAGGATGTATGTAAAAGGAGGACTTCCACTGGCTCTGGTCGGGGGTGGGAGGGGGTGCGGGGCTGGCTACAGGAGTCCAGGAGCTATCAGCTGACTGTCAAACTTTGAGACAAAACTCAAGATAGAAATATAAAAAATAAAGATCCAAGTCCTTGGTAGCAGGAACAGCAAAAATGGCACCACAAAAGATAGGAAAACTCGCCAAATCCCAGCAGAGAATAGGAATAGAACTGAATCCGACTGTCTTGAAAGGAAAGAATGAAGGGTCCCCAGTTGCACTGTGCTGGCTGACTAAAGGCTCTTCAGTCAAAGGAGGGTGACTCCCCTGCTAGGCAGCGGCAGCAGCTACCCCGCAACAATCTGCGTTACCAAGGTGCAGTCTTCAAGGCGCCTGCCTGTGGGGTCACCCCCCAGGTCAGCACCGACCCCAGCATGAAAGGGAACTGTGACAGAACCAAGTGAGAAAATGCCATCATAGAAGCGCCCTGTGGGATTGGCAAATTGGAAAACCACTCTGGTATCAGAATAGTCCATTCTTTATTCCTAAAGCATGTAATTTTAAAAATATAGAACATAAACATAAAATTTTAAAAATCTGAAAAAGTAAACAATCACCCATAATGCCCCTAACTAACTCAACACTATGAGCATTTTGCTGTATACATATTGACTTCTAATTGTTTTCCCTGCATATATTCTTTTCACATAGTTCATTCATTCATTGTTTCTGAGGGCTTATTTTGAGCCAAGCATTTTGCTATACACCAAGGATGAAATAATCATAGTATTCTGACAAATCCTTTTTTTTTACTTATTAGTAAACCAAAAACTTTTCCATTATAAGATTGAAATCATGATCCTCATTTTTCTACCTTTTTCTTGCTATTTAATATACATGCAGATAAGTGCATAAATTATAGGAGTACATACAACGAATTACCACAAAGTGAACTCATCCATGTAACCACACTCAGGTCAAAAAGTAGACTACTAGTACCCTGTGTATCTTTACACTACGTTAAAGCTAAATGGTAGGACCACCAGGTAGTCTGTTCCTCTCTATGCTGTATTTCCTTCCTCCCATACAGATGGCACAAAAAGATCAGGCCCAGAGGTGCCTGGCATTCCTAGAAGGTTCAGCCGACTGCAGTGAGGATCAGTGAGAGGACAGAGGGAACAGCAGGCTCACTGGTTATAACCACCTCGCCACTAGATTTCAAGAGGAAAGGGCAAAAAGGGTTTTAGAGATCTATGTAGAAACAAGTCCAAATATTGGGTTGTTGGAAAAGTCATGATGCATTTTTGCAACAAAAAACATAGAAAACTTACGTCATGAGTTTTCCAACAACCCAATAGGTATTCAGATCAGAGCAGAAGCCCTGAGAGAGTTTAAAGAGAAATGCGCTACCTGGAATTTCCCGTCATGTGGGATCCTAAAATCATGGCAGTTAGCATCAACCAGACAGAGTTTCCTAAGCTGGATTCTGGTCTCCTCTGACAGATCTAAAAGAGATATCATAGTCCAATCCTGTCATTTTACAGAAAAGAAAGATGAGGACTGGGGAGAATGTAAGTATGCATCAGCTCCTGTTGCAGTAATCTATTGCTGCATAATATAATAAATCACCCCAAAACTCAGGAGCTTAAAACAACAACCATTTTCAACTATGTGTGGGGACAGATGCTAACTAGACTAATTGTGGCAGTCATTTTATAATATATACAAATATCGAAGCATTATGTTGTACACCTGAAACTAATATAATGTTATATGTCAATTACATCTCAATAACAAAACAAAATGAACAGCCACCATTTATTATCTCTACCGGTTCTGGGGTTGACTGGGCTCAGCCTACATTTTCACTCAGGGTTCCTCACGTAGTTGCAGCCAGTGGTGGCTGGAACTGGATTTATCTGGCAGCTTCTTCACTCATGTCTGGTGGCCAATGCTGCAGGGTGGCTGGGCCAACAGACAATACGACCGATGGCCTTTGCATGTGGCCTGGCCTTCCTCACAGAACGGCAGCTGCGTCCCAAGAACACCAGGCAGAAGCTGCATCACTTTTTCTTTCATGATCCCACCTCTTTAAGGCACACAGAACCACTTAAGTTGAAGTCGCAGGCCTACCCAGATTCACAGGTCTGGGTGTGGAGAGACACACAGACCATAGCTCCTTATGGAAGAGTATCAACATGGCATTGTAAGAAGGGAATGTGGGGATCTTGCTGCGACCCTCTGAACACACACTTAGCCCAGATGCCCTCCCTACACGATTCCTCCCAGCAAATCAGTCTCCTGGCACCTGCCACACTGTGGAACTGCAGCCTACTGCCTACTCATCTCTTCCACTACATATGAGCTACTTAAGAGGAGGAACTGGATCGGTCATCTCTATGCCTGGCACTTAGCAGATGCTCAGAAAACTATTTCCTGAATCAATGAACAAACAAATGAAATTTAGGCTTCAAGTAAAAATATATATTTAAATGTTTCTAATGGAGCAGTAAAAGTTCCTTTATCCAAATCTCTTAGGCTAGGTCAGTTGAGGGCTGTCAGCTTTTAGCATTGTTAGTATCTTTACGTTTCATCAATAATGTAGTCTCACATTGGTCTAATTTATAACTAAGTAATAAAGTTGCTACTAACGCAAAGGTTATATTCAATAGCTTAAAATGTATCAGAAACACAAAATGCTCATCTTAATATATATTCAGAAGACCTTGTGGATTTATTTTTTTCCCCTCAAAATTGGTGGGTTATTTTATGGCAAGCACCCTTAAAAGGAAATTTACGTATAACACCACTGTTGCTAAATAAGCCAAATGAAACAGTTAAACCACTCTAAGAACTTAGTGTACTCAAGTGAAAACATACAATTTTAAAGTATTTTTATTCATAAATTATATATTTTTGTATCATGTTATTGGATATAGGTCATTCCACCCTAAATTATCACTTGTACAATCAACTTATTTTCTTTTACTGGTCAGCAAATATAACCAAGATGAAAGAAAAATTACATAACTCAGAACTCAAAAATTAGTTAAGCCGTTCCCTGGCCTCAGCAAGGCACACATGCATAGTCAATGCCCTAAAGTGCTGATATTAAGGACCCCGTACCCGCAGGACACTGTCCCAAAGAGCGTGAATCCATCCTTAATCTGATGAGACTTACTCTGGCTCTTTTCACTTTGATCACTTTCCTCCCAAGACCTCATTAGTCGCGCATCTCGGCAAACTTACCAATGAGTACCTGGCCACTCTTCATGGCAGAACCCCCTGGGAGCAGGCCATGGACCACAAGCCTCTCTCCAGCACCCTGCTTCCCGGCTCTCTTCCAGCTCCTCTTGGTTTGATGGATGATCCCAACCAGCACTTCCAGAAGCTTGAGCTGTTCTTTGGCTTTGGTGACAGTCAGCTTTTTGGGGTTCACATAAACATTCACATCTTTGTACCTCTGTTGGACAACGATTCCTGCTTTCTGGTTGGACTGATGCTTGAGAATGGAGACTGGCCCGCTGTCACTGCTATTTTTTTTATTACGGCGCTTGGGTAAAAGCCTTTTACTTTTTAAAATTTTGGTAAACCGCTTGAGTTTGGGTTCATACTTTTTTCCTTTGTCATCGTCCTCTTCTATAATAATCTCGGTTTCACTGAACCTGACATGGTTCACAACAGGTGTCTCAGGAAGGAGGCTTTCTTCTTCATCCTCACTCAATTCCAAATAAAATAGCTCTCCATTTTTCTGCACGCTGTCCAGCCACTCAGGCTCAAGGTCACTAAAAAAAAAAAGAAAAAAGATAATCTGAATAGCAGCTGAATATAAGAAAAAATAGCTGGCATCGGGGTGAGGGTGGGGACGGTGTAGGGAGGTGGGAGATATAAAAGTTCTTAGATTGTTTCAGCCTCCTTACTATTTCTAACTTACTACATCAATAATTTTTCCTGTAGGATGTTTGTGTGGAGCCTTCCAGAATGGGGGTGGGGGGTGGAGGGGAAGAAACTGAAAAAGCGTGTGATAGAAAACAAATAAAAAAAAGAGATGGGCCCCTTCTAGAATCTAAGGTGTTTTGTGTTTTTTTTTTTAAGAAATTTAATTCAGCCCCTGTGTGGTTATTGTTCACATTAGACAACTTCACTGGACAATAATTTACATTAGTAGTTGATTATGCAATTATATCCACAGATGTAAGCCATTGGAAATTGTACACAAAGCATGTTTGTATTGAAATTATTCAGCATGGCTGTCATGTTCAAATGAAAGCTAAAGCCTACCAGCATTAATAGACTTTGTTTATACAATAAATTTTCAAAAAAGAAACATTCCCCTCGCCATGAATAAAAACCTTCGCTGAAAACAACCAATTTATAATCACAATTAATAATGATCACTTCTGTAGCCTATAATTTCTGTAAAACTTTTTTATGAATAATTGTAGTAGGAAAAGTAAACCACATATTACATAATTCATCATGTGATTGCAAAAAAAATAACTTGTAACTGGGAGGTAGGCCATTGAAAGAAACAAAAGTATTGCTATTAAAATGATTGAAACAGCGTTAAGAACAAAAATATTCATCTTAAGGTAACAAAGCTAATCACAAACTCTACCCTGCTCGATGTTATGAACATTTTAATTTCAAACTGCTATTCTTTAAAGCAAAACTGGTTACAGTAAAAAAATTAACATGTGGAGAGAGTCTTTTCAGAGCCATGAGCTGTAATATCTTGGCATGAAAGGATATAATTTGTGTTCTAATCATTCAATCAGATAGAAAACAGTTTGGTTTTCTGCAGTGTTTATTAGCGACTCTGGTTCTTTTAACTTAAAAGTCAAAGGTCTCTTTCTAAATACTGTGAAAATTAATTTTTTAAAAAATGCACTATTCTATTACTCAACTCTGAAACTAACCACTGCCCTGGTTTGTGGTTGGTAATTAATACAGAATTTTCAACTATATATGAATGGTGGGGAAAAAAAAAAGCGTAACTGGCCCCAAATATCAAAAACTAATGTTTCTTTAAGAGTGTTGGTTCCCAGCGTGTGGAGTCATTTTAGGCACTTAGCACGACTTACTACAGGTTATTAATCATACCACAGTTGTTTCAACCATCCCTAACTGTACAAGGAGGTGCCACGTATAGTGAGAAGAAAATGAACCGAGAAGTCACAAAGACCTTGGTTCAAATTCTGTTCTATTGAGATTTTTACCTTTCCGAGCTTTAGTTTCCCTCTTTTAGAAAACAGATTGTATCTACCTCACGAGACTGTTATCAGGAGCAACTAAAATAATTCGCCTGGCATGGTAAGTGCCCACTAAGTGCCAGTCCCCTTCCTCTTGCCCCAGAGAGTCAGAACTAAAGAGAAACTCACACCTACATTAGGTATAGCTCTGTGCTCTGCACTTTTCCAACCCCTGGCAGTGAACGAAGGTGCCTCCAACAACCTCTGTTTGCTAGGTTCCCAGCTAAGTGCCGGGGACACAGAAGCAAAACCAGGTGCCGCCTTTAAGGCCCCCGCAGTTTAGTATTCTGGACGCTTCCTTACTCCTGCTCCCGATCATTGGTTCCTACTCAGGAGCATAACTGGTGAATGTGTTAGGAAGTTTTTCCGAGTTGTAAAGACTGTACTCCCAAATGGGTTCTACTACAAGGAAGGGCATGTGTTAAAAACAACAACAAAAACCCAACCTTTCATTGAGACTATTCATTAAGAACAAAATTAAAGAACTTTATATATAGATATGCCCTGCTCCAGGAGATGGAGCTTAACCTTTCCTCGCCTTGAGCGTGGACTGGGCTTAGTGACGTGCTTCCGAAGCACAGGGTGTACGAAGTGAAAAATAGTCAACGCAGTGAAGAAATCTGGCGGACATCACCTTAACCAAGAGATGGGGGTTACGAAAAACAAGGAAGGACTGAAAACTGTCACAGGCCAGAGGACAGTAAGGAGACTCGAAGATTTCATGCAATTTGAGATCCTGGAACAGAAAAGGGACATAAGTAGAAGGCTGATGAAATCCAAAAAAAGTCTGGAGCTTAGTTAGTGGCACTGTACCGATGTTAATTTCTTAGTTTTGAATAATGTACCATAGCTGTGTAAGACATCACCAATGTCAGGCGAAACCCGGTGAGGGAGATATAGGAACTCTGTACTATCTTTGCAACTTTTCTATAAATTCAAACTTATCCAAAAATAAAGGGCTTACTGTTCAAAAGAAAGTAAATCGAGCAGTTTGGACTCAGCTTTTTGTAATACATGGGTCACATGAATCAGTATTAATGCAAATATTCTTTCATCTCTTCTGAAGTCCTACGGTGCAGACTGCAAAGCTGTCACTCTGTAAATGTCTTTCAGTGAGATTCCTATTTTGTTTAGTCTATCTTGCTCTAAACAGAAATAACTGTGTAGTTACAGTCTGCTTGCAAAGTTTGACAGCACTTTAACTGGTTTTCAAGGCCCTGATGGATGTGGTAAACATGAGCAGAGTCCTTCTTCCCCAAAAAAGACTTGCTCGTTTGCACATAAGCAAGTTCACTTACGTAAGCTGTAACATAATTAAAGAAAATGAACTTCAGATAATGGTAATACGTTTCTCAATTCCTGATGCATTCAAGAACTCTACATTGACACTAAATCTTTTTCCCTTTCTTCTTCTAAATTATTGAATCTCTCAGGTCTGTATTTGCATTAATATCAGCATTTTTCATCATCTGAAATAATATCACAATTTCATCAACCACCACATGAAAAATGTTACGAGACAGCCAGCCCTCCTGGTACATTACCTTAAGAAAAATAGGCTTTAGCTTCTACTCCAAACCTGGTACATTATTTTATTTTTTTTTTTAGTGGGCAAAGCACAATGTGCTTTACCAAAGCAGCCAACATACATAGTTACGAGGTGCTAAGAGGTACAGCAGGACAAATCTTGGGACAGAGAAAAATACAATAAAAACACCAGGAGAAATTAACATGGATTCTATCTGGTACTCAGTCGGTAAATACTGGTCTGCCGAATGCTTTTGTGTGTGTTTGTTTTTCCCTTGTGTTCTGTCTACCAGCAATACCTAATCTTCATCCCTGAAGTCTTTTGATTGCTTCTAAAAGAAAAACCATGATTTGAGTGGTTAAAATCTATGCTAGATGTTATAGCAGCTTGAGGAGGTGGGGAACCTGGGGTGGGCTGATACTCTTTTTAGTTTAGTCACCACTGGAACAAATGTACAGCATGTCAAAGAAGAGGAAGTGAACTACGAACTGTGTACTCACAGCATGAAATACATTTTAACATCAGGAACATACTCCATTGGAACTGTGCTCATGAGCCCATTCCCAGGACCACACGTCCCACCCCCAACCCTTCAGCTAAAATGGGGCATGTCTACTCATCAACAAGTTAGGAACATGATCTAACCCTGGCAGAGCTGAAGTCACAGACCAGCAAAACATTTTGTTACAGGCTTCATTGTATGCATACTTTTAAAGACATCAGATGGACAGAGAGCTCATCACCTAGCTGAAATGTAAATGCCAAAAGTGAGGAATAAAAACTACTATAAGAGACTAGAGTTTGGAGAAATTAAGTCTAGAAGGATCAGAAAGGGTTCCAGGAGGTGGCACTTAAGTGGGACCTTGAATGCTTTTGACAAGTAGAGATGGGAAGAAAGTGTGTTTTAGAGAGAACAAAGTATGTACACGTACAGGTGTGAAAGAATGTGGTAGGTATGCGAATGGGTGGATATTTCAGGAATGTGATGCACTGAATGTGTGTGTTCCCCCAAAGTGTATATGTTGAAACCCTACCACCCAGTGATGGTTGATATTGGGAGGTGAGGCCTTTCGGAAGTTATTAGGATTAGATGACATCATGAGGGTGGAGCCCTCACGAATGGGATTAGTGTCCTCCTAAGAGTCCCAAGGAATCTTGCTGCTTCTCTCTGCTCTCTGCCATGTGAGGACACAATGTGAAGTCAGCAGTCTGCAACCTGGAAGAGGGCCCTCACAGAACCCGACCACGATAGTACCCTGATCTGGGACTTCCAGCCTCCAAACTGTGAGAAATAAACTTCTGTGTTCATAAGCCACTCAATCTATGCTATCAGCCTGAGCCTAGACAAGTAGTAATACAGGTGGCTTAAAAGAGGAAGAGCATCAAAGATGAGACCAGGAAGGCTGGGGACAGATCTACAAGCCTTTTGAAAATCATCCTGAGGAATCCGGAATTTATTTGGAAGCCCATTGAGCTTCTGAACCAAGCAGAAAAAAGATTTAGTAAACTTTGTCTTTTTTTTTTTTTTAGAACAGTTATAGTTCATAGCAAAATTGAGTGGAAGGCAGAAAGATGTCACACATACTCCCTGCCCCACCCGCCAAATGCACAGCCTCCTCCACTAGCAACACCCCCCACATCTCACAGCATGTGTGAGAAAGGAGAGGAGAGAAAGGAGTGGCTACCAGAAAAGGAAGTCACCAGGACTGGAGACTTATTAGACCTGAAGACTTGCGTAAGGAGAGAGGGGTGCCAGGAAATGAGGTGGGCACCACCAGGAGAGAAGGAAGATAATGAACGCTCTTCAAACACGCTGAGCTGGAAGCAGAGAGAGATGGTAGCAGAGAATTACCATTTCTCATCATACACCTACTTACATACCATTTGTCTTTTTATTCTATATAATTTGATAAAAATTAAAAGCCAAAAGAAGTCAGGGTTCAGAGCAAAAGAGGAAAACACAGAACTATCTTAAATTGGATGTTAATATATGGGATCAAGACTTTGAATGAAATATTTTGATTCTTCAAGTAATACACTCCCATATTAAAATCCAAGAAAAAGATAAATTTTGGTATATTCATACAATGGAATCCCATTCGGAAATAAAGAAATTAACTACTTCGAGGTGACAACATGGATGAGTCTCAAAATAATTATGCTGAGTAAAAGAAGACAGATAAAAAAAACCCAGTACGTTCTATGTGATTCCATTTTTTATAAAACTAGAAAATACAAACTCATCTCTAATGACAGAAAACAAGTGGTTGTAAGGCGTGAGGGGGACATGAGTAGTCTTAGGGAGGGAGGCACACGGGGAAACCCAGGTGAGACGCATATGTTCATTATCTTAACAGATGTATACATGTCAAAACTTATCAAACTGTACACTTTAAATATGTGTAGTTTACTGTATTTCAACTATACGCCAATAAAGCTGTTAAAAAAATGTAAAGGACATATTTCCCATCTTCTCCAGTCATTCTTATTTTCAGTGGAAGTTTATTAGCTTTTCACAGCTAAATGCTTTTAAAAGTATTCCTCTTTCCATCAGTCAAAAGTTTTAAAAGCAACAATAACAACAAAAAATTCACTTTGAAAAATAAAAAATCTAACTCACGAAATTGATAACTGTGGCCAATATGAACTAACGAATGTTGCTTCAATGAGCTGGATAATTGTAAACCAAAGCAAAGAAACATAGCGTTATTGCAAGTAAATGCATGATTTCTATTATTTCCATACTGAAACTAGTCACTTGTTCCCTCAGCCCAACCCACCCACTAGTATTACCTCTGAAATTTCCCCCAGGCACCTGCCAGTTTGCTAGGTTAAGATGTACTGCACTAATCTAGAATTTTCCTCTTACATAATGTCTTAAATAAACCTATTAAAAGTACTTCACCAGAATGGATGCTAATTTTATCTCAAAAGTAATAAACTTATTAATTCTGTATTGACAATCACATGCAGCTGAAACCAGTTTTCAGTTACAAATCATGTATGAAATAATAATTTCCAGAAAGAATATGCAGATAATTAACTAACTAGAACCCTGAATATTTGGGATACTTTATGTGAATCAATAAGTGGCATAACTTCCTTAATAACCTTCATGTAAGTGATGAAAGACAGTAGACAATTCATCTCTGAGGTTTGATGAGAAAGATTAGGTTTACATCCCTAAACCTCTGATCAAAGAATGGTCTTGTCCAAGCCAGACAAGCTACCTCCTACATTGGTGATTTATGCAGCTTAGGGAGGTAAATACCTAATACCATAAAGAAGGAACAGAACAGGAGCCAACCTGGCCAGGTCAGCAAATCAACTCTCATGTCCTGCACACCAAGAAGGGACAGCCATAAAATCTGAAGCTTGGTAGGACTCACAATATAGACCAGCAAAACATTTTACAATAGGGATTTATTGTACTTAACTATTAGGAGGATAAAGACACTGGAACATGTGGAGTGATCAGTGAAAGACTGACATAGAAAACTTAACAATCATTTTTTAAAAACTAAAATATAATACACATATACATGTATCCTGACTTACAAAATCCTTTGAAGTAAGGAGTTCTCTTCATTCCACCAAAATCAGGGCATTCCATTTGAAATCAGGTCTCCTAAATTCCTACGCTTATAACACTCAGCTATATGACCATGGGCAAATTACAGCTTCTCTTTGGGCTAAAAGTGTGTGATTTTAAGATGTAGAGAAACCAAGAGTTTGAGTCTCACATTGTCTATGACTTCCATAGCAAGATCAAATGGATTCCACATAATCTACACTTCCTTCCAGCAGCCTTGCTTGATAACCATGAATTTTGTAATTATTTTTAAATGACCATAGCACAAGATTAAGCAAAATATGTGATATTCGTAAATTTGTTCAAGTCTTCATATAATCTGCCCTCATTAAGCCTCTAGAGCAGGGGTCGGCAAACTTTTGAGACGGAAGAGCTGCCAAGGGTGGGTAAACTGTGGATTGCGAGCCACATGTGGCTCTTTGGGTATGTGCATGTGGCTCTGAAGTCAAGTTGAAAATGAAAATAAAACTATCATTGTTTCATTTATAAAAATTTTGAAGGATATTATTCGCATAATGGTGATTATGTAAAAATATACTTATGGCTCTTGAATAATTTTTAAATTGTTGTGAGGGGCAGGATTGGCCTTCCAGGTCGGCAAACTTTTGAGACTGCACACAAGGAGCCGCCTGCATGTGGCTCAGGAGCCGCAGTTTGAGGGCCCCTGCTCTAGCTTATATTAAGCAGCCATTAGTGATGGTCTCCCCGCCATGCTTTTAAAGATGATAAAAATGTTTTACATACCTATAGGTGAAAATAATCGCTAAATGCTTATTAAATACTTGTAACTGTTATTCCTACACACACATAAAATGTCATCCTAAAACTGACTATATGTGGCAGTCCTTTATGGGGTTGGGTTGATGTTTTGGCACCTGAACCTTTCCACAGTTAAGTCATTTCAAGTCACCACTAATTAACTTTTCAAAAAATTCTTAATCCAGAGCAGTCAGGCATACATTCCTTTAAAACTGAAGTCGCGCTGTGTACTGTGAATCGAACTAACTTTTTCATTATTATTAAGGATAAAAAAATTACATTATGACATAAAGTAGAAAACAAAAAAAACATGAGGATGTATAGAAAAATATAACAGAAACACCCAAAAAATGCTAAGAGAGGTTGTCCTCCATAGTGAAACTATGGGTTTTCTTTTACGTATCAATCCATTTTTATAACAAGAAAATACCTACATACTTTAAAATATAAAATGTGTACGGTGCCCCTTCACTCTAAATACTAATGAGGTTAAGTCACAATGATTATGATGCCAGAGAAGCAAGAAAACACTGCAACATTACAGTTTTACGAACACTAACGGATATACCCTCATCATATATTATGGAATCCACCATAAAAAAGAGGAGAGCCTATTTAAGAATCGTAACAAACGTCCGGTAGCAAAGAATGGCACCCACATTTCGGCTCACATCACACAATTAAAACGTGGCGCAAATAATTCCCACTTACTAGAGAACCTAAACACTCAATCCCAACCACGTTAACACTCTGGAGTCCCCCACCCCCTCACCCCCAGCCCACGTGTACACTCTCCGGATGGAAGGCATGGATTCAACGGTCCCTCTTCGACAACCTTACTCATAATCGCTACTCGCAGACGAATACGATGAACCCGAGTCGCTGACACGATCTTCAGGATCACAATCCTCATCTTCTTCTCGTGAAGAGGGGTCTTCAAGGAGCTCCTCCGGGCTCTGAGGCGAATCGCACAAAGCTGGAGATGCCATCATCAAAGATGCAGCGGAGACAAGCAGAGTAACTCAAATCTCCAAGCGACGGCTTGTCGGAACCGCCATGTTGCCTCCGCGAGAGAGGGGGCAGAGGCCACGTGATCACCAGTCCTTAGCTGCAATTGGTGGCAGCTTAGGTTGCCAGGGAGACGGGGAAGCGTCCCCGGGAGAAGTCGGAAGACTGCCGAAATTTCTAGGAGGGCGTGTGGGAGGAATGGAAGTAGCGAAAACTTCACCGCTTACGCTCTCCTTTGGAGCAGCGTATCTTATTCAAACAGGCGGAGACCCACTGGTTTTGTTTTTTTTCCCCTTTTTTCTTCCTCCAGTTTGCACTTTGTTTCCACGCCGAACAGCTGTCCAAAACCTTAAGAGGCTTTAAGCCTGCGTTTCCCTTGAGGTAAAAGAAAACTACCCTCTCTACCTTTCCTCCCGCCTCTGCATCTAAGCAGGGAATAGACGCTTTTAAGCAATACCCTCTAGGTGTTAATGTAAATACACGCCATTGTTTATTTGTTTTTATTATTGTTTCGTATTTGCAAACATTTTTACAGTTCTCCCAAGCAGATATTGTAGAGATGCTTTAAATAGATGGCAATACTGTGAAATCAACTGCGTGTTCATTTTCTAACTCAAAATTTTATAATTTGATGACGTGTTCTCATTACTGGAGTTGGAAGTGTAAACAGGTAAATTTTATCTGTCAGTTGTGAGTACCTACATTAAATAATTTTTTTAAAGTACAAAATAATACCCAGCATTTATTGAGAGTCAGCCATTGCTCTAATTACATGTTCTGTTCTCATACTATTCTAAGTATTCACATACTATGAAGTAAATATCCATTACTAAAATAAGGCAACGGAAGCTTAGAGAGGTTATTAATTTTGTTAATGGTCACATGCCTGGCAGGCAACAAAGCCAACCAAAAATGGAACTTTAAGTCATTAACTACTAGATTGTATTTCCTTCTCAAGGCCCAGTTTTTCATCTATTAGAGATCTAAGAAAACAAGGGATGCAAATAAAATTTGTACAAGTGAGAAGCTGAAAGCAATCTAAATGTTCGACAATAGGGGAAAAGTTAAATATATATGTTACATATATATTTATATATTATATATATAACAAATAGTATGATGTTAATAGAAATGTTTTCAAAGAATAATGCATGTGGGAAATGTTCCTGTTAAAGCCAGTAAAAAAAAAAAAAAAGGATATAGTGCTATTTTATGATCTCAGTGGATGGATGCTGAGGATTCAATTTAAACTACATGGGCAGGTGGTGGATACTGAAAGGTGAATGGGCGTTTTAGAACATACAGTGATGAGTATTATGATAAGTACGGAGTTCTAATGGAATACCCAAAGGAACACAAACGAGGGCATGTAGGGCTACAGCAAATTTCTTAGAGGGGGTCTTAACTTACCTTGTTATTATAGGGGATAATCTACCAAACAGAGAAAAATAGTGGGAGATGAGTCACCCTATGGCCCAGAGTGATATATGCATAGAGAACTCAAGAGAACCTGGGCAGTAGCAGTGAAATATTTAAACTTTCAAGCTGCAGTTTAGTTTCACTTGTCACATTAAATTATGTCCATTTGAATAGCCTATGTTTTATGCTTTTATTAATTTCTAAATGTGCCTTTTTTACAGCTGTATATCAGCTATGGAATTTTATTTTGTAGTTTATTTGTATTTATAAAATTGTTTTTATCTTATGTAAGAGCTATACAGCACAGAGCTAATATCTGTTTATTTAAAATTATAACTGAAAAAAAGTTTGTCATCCCTGGAAATCCCCAAGAGTTTATTCCTTAAAAGAGGTCTGCCCACATATGGCTCAAATTGAAGAATAGGGGACGAGTTCATAAAGGGATCATGGATAACGAAGGTCCTTGAGGTGGCAGGAGGGGATGGTACCCAAGGCACTGATGGAGTGATGTGACCTTGCTGACACCTATTCCCTAAAACTGGTTCCCAAAGGATGGTGCAGGTGTGAAGGCTGACTTGCCAGTTTCAGTCAAGAAGCTGGGACAGTCTCCATGTGATGGTGTTTATTTTCTCTGGTAAATGGAAGGCAACCTTGCCAGCTGAAAGTGATAGAGGAAGTAAAGGGGTCAGAAGTTTGAGGAGAGTGGATCCCGGAAGGAAGAGAAACAAATATTTCCATCAGCATTGAGGTCCAAAAAGAAAAACAGGGCATCACTTTTAAAATCAGAGACACAATATTATAAAAAAGTTGGAATCACTATAATAGTTACGTTTCATGTTAAAACATACATACTTATTCTCACCCCTTAATCTCGAAGGTTAAAAATTACTTAAGATTTCATTCCAATATAAAAAATGCTTTAGGTACCTCTTTAACAAGTTAAACTTTCCTCATTTTAAAAGCACTTTATTGGAAGTTAAAAAAGAAACAACAACAACATTTTAAATTTTAACAAAAACACGTTTTCTTCCTATAAATAACACTCCATTTTTTTCTATGAGCATCTAATAATTTTATACTCTGCTCATAAACCTTCAATACTAAACCCAATAAATAGAGAATAAAATGCAAACTGTGTAGTCTCTGTTAAAAAAAAATCCAATTCTACAAACAATTGAGCACCAATTATGAGTTAGATGCCTTATTTCCTGCTATACATAAATTAGGTTAATCAAGTGTGCCCAACCTGCCTGATCAAAAGATCGCCTAGGATGCTTGTTAAACATCAAGATTTTAATGCCCTGTCCCACTTCAATAGTATCAGAGTCTCCCAGGGACCCGACCTGAAAATCCCTATTTTAAACAAGTGCCCCCAGCGGTGCCTGAGTTAACTGGCGCCTGGGGAACACTGCCCTAAGCCTTTCCTCAGTTCTATACTTCACACCTACAGGCCCACTGACCATTTCCCAAATAGGCTGGACCCCACTCCCACCTCCTGGTTTTGACCTTGGTAGACATGCCTCTCCCTGCCCCAGAACCCATTAGGTATATGATCTTAAGCAAATCTACTTCTCCAAGCTTCACTTTCCTTATCGGTGAATTTGAATATTGGTTCCTATTTCACAGGACACTTTGGAGTGCAATAAGTTAATGCAAGTAAAATACCTAGTACAGAAAGTGCCCATAAAGCTATTTTATAGATCGTTTACTCACACAGCTGTCTCACTGTGGAATGCTACTTATCCATAATAATACATTTTCCTTCAAGACCCAATTCAAATGGTACCTTTTCCAAGAATCTGCCCCAGACTTTTTTCTGATCTCAGTAGGAGGTAGAAGTAGAAGAAATGATAGCAATCATTGTAAACTCTTATTTAAATATTCAGGGTATGGTATTAGCCAATCAGATTTCTAACTTTATATATCATAGTTGTACTAACTAAATTAATATTTAACAACCTTAGATGTGTATTGGAGAGGATGAAGAAAGAAAAAGAATAAGATGCCATTTTCAGAACGCTGTTTTTGTCTGTTTCATAATTGGCAATTGCAGGAAGCTTTAAAAGAGTTAGACTGGAAGTCGGGGGGGATCACGCTTCTAGACATTAGAACGTACTACAAGGCTACAGTAATCAAAACAGTATGGTACTGGCATAAAAACAGACACATAGATCAATGGAACAGAATAGAGAGCCCAGAACTAAATCCAGGCATATACAGGCAGTTAGACTATGACAATGGAAGCAAGAATTTACATTGGGGTAAAGATAGTCTATTTAATAAATGGAGCTGGGAAAATTGGACTGACACATGCAAAAAAATGAAACTGGACCACCTCCTTACGCCATATACAAGAACAAATTCAAAATGGATTAAAAACGTAAATATAAGACCTGAGACCATAAAACTCCTAGAAGAAAATGTAGGGTCTAAATTTGCAGACGTTACCCTGAGCAATATTTTTACTGATACATCCCCGCAGGCTAGGGAAGTAAAAGAAAAAATGAACATATGGGACTACATCAAACTTTAAAAGTTTTTTCACAAAAAAAGAAACCATCAATAAAACAAAAAGGAAGCCTACTGAATGGGAGAAGAAATTTGTCAACAAGATATCTGATAAGGGGTAATATCCAAAATATATAAAACGCTCATGCAACTCAACACCAAAAAAAACAAACAACCCAATTAAAAAATGGGCAGAGGATATGAAGAGACATTTCTCTAAAGAGGACATACAGATGGCCAACAAGCATATGAAAAAATGTTCAACCTCACTAATCATTAGGGAAATGCAAATAAAAACTACCATGAGATACCGCTTCACTCCGGTCAGAATGGCTATCATCAATAAGTCAACAAACAACAAATGCTGGCGAGGTTGTGGGGAAAAGGGAACCCTGGCACACTGTTGGTGGGACTGCAGACTGTTGCAGCCACTATGGAAATCAGTATGGAGGTATTTCAAAAAACTGGAAATGGAACTACCTTATGACCCAGCAATTCCACTCTTAGGTATTTATCCAGAAAAACC